TGCAGGCTCCATGGCTCTGTGGGGTGAGGGTTCAGAAAATGAACAATGGCCTCTGCCCGCCTTTCTGTCCGGAAGAAATCTGTCTCCCACCTCTCATCTTGACGTCAAACACTTCAGTTTCTCCCTGCATGCCACTGGTGGTCTTTTGAGCTCCTAACCCAGTGCCAGAGCTCAGAGGGAGTAAGTATGAGCAAATGTGTGTGTGGGTTCTTTAAGAGGAACTGCTTGGGACTCCAGATGTTTCTTCCACTGACTCAATCCCTGCTGGTTTTTGCAGGCAGAAGTTATGGGAACTTATCCTCCTGGCACTGGAACCCTGGGCTGGGGCATCTTGTACAGGGCTGGGACTCCTCGGTCCTAAGATATCCTTTCTGAATTTTTATCCACCACAGGTAGATATGAGACCAGCCCCTTCCACAACTCCTCCCTTCCTACCAGTCTGGTTGGACGTGGTTTCTTGAATTCCATAGCTGTCAGACAGACTTCCATTCAACTAAATTTCTGATAGTTCTGAGTGATGGTTGTCCTGTAATTTGGCTGTAATTTTGATGTGGTTGTGCAAAGGAGGCCAGCCATGTTTATCAGTTCTGCCATCTTGACCCGATGTTTTTGGGTCCCTCCCTCCAGTTTTTCTTATTTTTATCATTGACACTATTCCAGATGTCCCCATTTCCCCACACTTTACCCACCTCCACCCAGGCCCTACCCCCCTTCCTTCATCACCACGCTATTGTCTGTGTCCATAGGTTGTACAGATATGTTCTTTGGCTTATCCCTTTCCCTTCTTTCATCCAGTTCCCCTTCTACCCTCCCCTCTGACAGCTATTTTGTTTGTCAGGGTTTTTCTTTAACAGTTTATTTTGTATTGTATTTTTTCCCATTACTATTTATCCCCCTACATCCTCTTTCACCTCCATCCCCCATCCCTCTGCAATCACCACACTGCTGTCTGTGTCTGTAAGTTTTTACTTCTTTGCTCAATCTAGGATTTTTTAAAATAAATAATTGGTGTTTGAAGCTTATTTTTATAATCAGCCGAAAGCTCAAATACTGTCAATCAATGTATGATTTCATTTATATGTGTAGTTTATATGCATGTGTAGCATTAGTAGTAAACCCTTTACTCTCAGTCCTAAAACATAATCAGGATAGTTAACTTACTCCTAGAAAAGAAAAACTGTATGTTTCAAAATAAAATTACTTCTGCATTTCCTTTTTTACTGAATTATTTATAGCACTGTTCACCAGCCTTCCTCCTTCTGTTAACTCTGATAATCAGAAGTTAATCCAATAGTGAAATTTAACTATAGGGCCATGATTTACCCATGATATCACAAAAGAAAACATATGGAGGAAACCACCACCACCCACCCACCCACCTACCCACCCACCCACACACTTTTAAAGTAACCTCTGATACAAAAGAAAGCATTATAAGATAGTATGTGGAAATATTTTACTTTTAGAAAAAATGTCAAAACCACTTCAGCAAATGACAAATGCAAAGTACTTTGCTGCAAAATATTTAACTACCATTTGGCATACTATATTCTATAACCCAAAAATGAACATATCTGCTCCACTAAATATAACTGTAGGAGTCTGAGAATACTAAAGTAGTAGTCAAGTAATTTGTAAGCTGTATCTGTAAAAACTAATAATATACTATTTTAAATATCAAGTGTGTCCTTGATACACATTTATAAATAGTAGTAACACTATTTGCTTAACATAGCCACCAAGAGACCAATACAGATATACTTTACTAATGACCCAAATACTGTAAGTTATGCTGCCATCAGTTTTGTGATTTTCCAAACAGTAAAGAATTCTTAAAGTTCTGAATGAGAAGTGAAATCACCCCCAGACAGTCACATGTGCTAAGCCACAGCATTGATGGCCTCAGTTAATGGCTTCCCTGTGTCCATGCCCTGTGCCAGGGGACTTGGTAGTCCCCTCCCACTCTAGTTCTGGAATTGGCAGCATGACTTTCTTTGGCAGTAAGTTGTTTACAACTGTAATGCAAGCATGTAAAATATATTTAAGTTATACATGCAGATGATTGTAAACAGGCTTTTCCCTTATAAAAACATCTGGAAAAACATGAAAAATATGTGGAATGCAGGTTAATTCTGTTTAACATACTGTGTGTCATCCAGAAACCATGGAACTTACCTGCTAAAGCCAGTGACACCCACAGGCATGCCCCTCAGAACACTAAAATTCCCCCGTGGGGGTGGAAGATCCAAGACTGCTCCCAATGTTAATATACTTTCTGATCTTGTAACTTCATCTCTTCTTCAAGTTTGAACTCATTCACATACAAGATTCATGAGAGTACCTTTTTAATCCAAAATTTTATGTGATAAAGTATGGTTTACAAACACATAATCAAAATATTTTGAAAGAAAAAATTAAAATCTGTATACTTTTCTCTATCCATGTTATATTTAAGATTTAAATGTTTAACTGATGATAAAGCACATGCACTTGAAGTCTGTATTTTTATGAAATTGTACCAACCGTGCTGCACTTCATATCAATCCTCATTCCACACAGCTGTTAAGTTTTTAAGAACACATATATTGCTAATATTGTAAAGAATCAAGTATACCTACCCAAATGTTTTGGTTCTAATATGTCCTTAGGGACACAAGAGGGTATGCCTGTCTTAACAAATATTTAAAAAGTCAGTGTATTTTCTAACAGCAAGAATTATTGTAAATTTCTTTTTCTTGTGATCTGTTTGCTCTGCCTTCAATCTTTTCCTGCCAGCTTAGGTCCTAGTCACCCTCAAAACCAGAAAGTGTGTCACCTTCTTTGTGAGAGCTTCCCAATCCTCTTCTTGTCACCAACAGACTGACTCCCTGTTCCATATTACATCTAAACCTTCTTACTCATCTTACTTACCTAACACCAAGTTATGTTATACACCTGTCTCCCTCAGCAACCCTGTTAGCACTATGTCAGCTAAGCCAATGTGACACATCTGTAACTGCACCCATAGTACTGAGCACAGTGCCTATCATGGTGGGTGTTTTAAATGGCCTTTCAATTTTCCTCCTTTTAGAATTTAAGAATCATGAACTCATTCATCTCTCATGTTTGTATTTTGTTTCTACTTTTTGACATAATGGATTGCCTAAATCTAGTATTTCTTGTCATATAGTCTAAATTTATATTGCCATTTCAGTCTTAATCCCGCCATACACTAAAGTGAAATAAGCCAGTCACAGAAGGACAAATACTATATGATTCCACTTACATGAGATCTAAAATAGTCAAACTCATCAAAGCAGAAAGTAGAACAGTGGTTGCCAGGGGCTGGGAAGGAAAATGGGGAGGTGCTATTCAATGAGTATAAAGCTTAGTTATGCAAGACAAATAAGTGCTAGAAATGTGCTGTAACACTGTGCCTATAGTTAATACTATTATATTGTACACTTAAAAAATGTTTAGGAGAGTCAATCTCACATTAAGTGTTGTTACCACAATTTTTTGAAAAATCTTAAGTGTTTTGGGGACCAGTCTATACCTAATGTTATATATTGACAGGTTTGGATATTTTACTCACTTCCCCCAATGAACTGTTACCTTTTCAATTCTGTTGCTCTGACTTTATCTACTGTCATTATACCTTTATTCTAAAAACAGAATATTTTTATTTCTGATTCCATTCTCATGTCCAAAATTTTGCATACTAGGCCAACATTCTAAAAACAGTAATTTAAAGCCTGCACTTCTATACTAATTCCAAACTTTATATAAATAGTCTAAATTGTATTTTAATCCATTAATATATTATTCTCTATTAAACTGTCATTACAAACCCTTTGCCCTTCATCTAGCTTTAGATGTCCTGCAATGTACCAATATCAGTCTGGAACCTGATATAATTTTCTGTTGAGTATTTGAGTGAAATTATTCACTCAAAATAATTTTTTATCAGTAAAATGGGGAGACTACGAAGTGCTTACTTCTATAAATCATGTATTTAAAAGCATTTCATAAAACCTTGAATTTACACCTCCACTATTTTAGAGCCGAAAACACAGGTGCATCACAAGTAGGCAAGCAAATTTAAGATATTACTATCAAAGTGTAGGAAGAGAGAGAGGCAGAGTACAAAATGCTCACACATTATCTTCTGAAGGTGAAAAGAGAAGATGGAAACTAGTAAAATCTTGATGCTTAACTTCTTTTCTGTATCTTATATCAAAAATGTGCAATCAGAACAGCATAACTAAACTATTATTTCCTTTCTAGGAAGTGATAAGAATCACTTATAAAATTGAAATGGCTCTGATTAATCAATTCGGTAACCAGCTCATCCTTACTCCAGATTATAAAATATGCCCACTTTGTTAATTTTATAGTTTTTAAAAAACATTAGATCACCAACTTTTACATGCGCAAAACATGGAAGTAAAAACAAAAAAGCAACCAACAGAATGGAACAGCTGGAAACCCAATAAAGCAGAGTGGAAGGACAACACTCCTCTGCAAACCGTGACTGCTGGGTTTCCCATGACAGCAGGCCGAGCCCTCAGAACCACCAGCCTGCTCTCTCCCTGCTCAGCTTTAAACTTCACATACACGGCCAAAGTTAAAGAGGTAGCAAAAACGAAGGAGGGGACCTCAAATGAAAGCTGAGCATACAACAGTCTAACACAAGCTTATGATAGTACTGCAAAGTTTATTCTTTTTTTTTTATCTTTTAAAGACTAACAATTAATTACTCCAATACTAGACAACCTCCAAAAATGCCTTTCACAGTCATCCCTGATGAATTTTAAATACATATGTTTCATCTCAGGTTTAAGACAAAGTCCTTAGATACTAGACATTAATTCTAAAAGCATAATATGAGTATATTCTAAAATACCTAAATATAAAATACAAAAATAACTTTTTCAGAGAGTGAAATTCATCATTCTAAACTTATTAAATCTTATTAAAATGACTGCCAACAAGAAAGTTGAAATTGTAAAAACACTTACTTCATTTCCATGTTTTTGCAGGAATTCAATTTCCTGTTGTGTGAATGTAGTCATGGAGATAGATTTCACCCGGTGTGGTGGATTTAACCCTCGCCTAAGAGAGAAAATATTGTACACATTTACTACTATATACCATATTTTTAAAATTGCATATCAATACAAAACAATACAAATGTTAGCACATTTACACTTGGACCAGAGCTTTTATTTCATAAACTAAAAGTACTTAAAAATTATTTTAAACTATTAATATCCACAACAGGTATGTCCAGGTAAGTTTGGCTACACCTACACTAAATAATATATTTAAAAATAAATTCAATTCACTACCTAGTTAGAAACCATAATACCTGTAACACAAGAACTTCTAGGAAATACAAATACTGCTTTAGTGTGTTTTCTTGGAGGGAGAAAACAATGCATTCGAAGAGCTCTATGGTAAAGAATTCAAAAAGTAATGGATTATCTAAGTATCTTCATACTTTAAGAAAATACGACAATGTGTTAAGTATGGAGCTACACAAATATTCTAGTCAAACTGCTACTACCTTTAGGTTTAAGGCCAATTTAGAAAATTAAAATTAACCTAAGGAAAGTAAGTTACTAACAATAAGAATAAAGTTCTGTCTCCCCATCAATTCAAACAAGGATTGGTAATAAGGAACATTTTTAATCACCTCAGGAGGCAATAAGTGTTCAAGAGGAAACAGCAGGGCCCTGGCGAAGGGATTCGAGAAATAGGCAGATACTTGATTAAACGACTTTTAAGACCCTTTACAACCTTGAGGACTTTTCTGTATAGATGACCGTGAGAGGACTTTATCTCTAAGTGTCATGATGTTTTATCATACACATAAAAAAGTGAATAGAAAAGCACTCAGAGAAAAGGACGGACTATTTACATTTTGTCCAAATACCACAAAGTAGCTACTCCACCCAGGAGAATAAGGGTTAAATAACCTATGCAAAGTTAACAGTTTCATAAAATTACTTTGGGAGTCTCGTCCTCTGGTAAACTTGTCATTTGGAATCTAGGTTTTAGGAAAGATTATTATAATATTTTTACAGAATTTGTTATAGTCATCTTGTAATTATCCATGCTGAGATTTAAACATGCTGTGAAATCACAAATCAAAAATCTTTCAAAAATATTCTGGAAACACTTTTGAATAATTAATTATGGTGTATACTTTTACTTTAAATCAAAATAATAAGGAGAATTCAGAAGAGAAGCTCCTCAACCTTCATATCCTGCTGCTTCTTTCTCTCCGTTCTACTATCAGAAATAGCAGGCACGCTTTTCAGATCATGCTTTGAGTTATGACAAGCTGCACTTTATCTGCTTCACATGTCAAAGTGGTAAGCCCATGTTAAGTTAGGTTTTGTTTCAATTTTAAATTAACAAGTCATTTTCCTTCTAGCTCTTGGTAAATCATACAACAGAAATGAAGATCGCACAGTAGAAGAAACTGAACATAGCAATCTCATCCCAGTAAAACTTTCAACCTTAACTACGAAGAAGCAACTATGGTACGATTTATCTTCAGGTACTTTTACAATTTGCAGTAACAAATTAATAAGGCTTTCAAGATACCTTAAATTTCCAAGTGAAAATGTAGGACAGTCATTATTACTCATTTAAAGCATGACACTGTATTCCAACTTATCCTTATCATGAGAACAAGACGAAATTCACCATTTTCAGGAAAGCTTATTCATTTATGTTATATATTTACACTTTACCCAGCTCCAAAACAATTTAAGAACTTAATGTATTACTGTTCTCTCAAATTTCTCTACTCCTTCTATTCTCACTTAGCCGCTTGGTCTCTCCTTATTCCCTAATACCTCCTCCTCAGGCCAGCCAACCTTTCCCTTTCCACTTACCCTATAGTAGCCTTTAAAAAAAAAAGAGGGAAGGGCAAAAGAATTACCTTCTAATGAGAAAACATTAAACACTGTTACAAGGGTGTATATTTTAAAGAAAAATTTTGGAGCAATACCCCTATACTTCTCAAATAATTAAAGAAAATCCTTGACTCTCTTAAAGTTATTTATACAGATGTAATTTCATGAAAGCAGTACAATGTATGGCTTGTACTAATATATCTTGAGTCTCTACCATATCACAGAGTCTATTTATGCATAAAGAAGGTATTCATTACTTAAATAAGTAAACAATAGAACTTATGAAACAAATACAACCAGAATAAGGACATATTTTTCACACTTATCAAGAATTTATTACAGGTTTTTTATTCAATTACAGTTCATGGTCAATATTATTTTGTATTAGTTTCAGGTGTAGTATAATGATTAGACAATCACATACTTTACAAAGTGTTCCCCCGATATTTCCGGCACCCACCTAACATCATGTATAGTTATTACAATACTATAAACATATTTTCAATGCTGTACTTTACATCCCCATGACTATTGTTAACTTCCAATCTATTACAGGATTTCTTTAAAAGAGCTCAGTGAACTTAAAAGAGGATTTGATTTATAAAACTAGTAGATGCAATTCTGCAAGACCACATTAATTATATGAATTGAGCAACTCTAAGAAGTATTACATTTTTTTCATGTTGATTCTCTAATTGATGTTCTATATCCCATTTATTCAAGCAGATTAACTATATTCTCAATGCAAGAATATACAGGAGTTTTTCCTCTTTCAGCTTCCAAAAGCTTTTGTACAAGGATAGCATGTGCTTATAAAACAGTTCATTTAAAAGAAATAAAATGAAGACTATCGATTTCTTAGGTAAAATGCAAACTGATGAGTCTGCAGTGAAAATGGGAATGTAATATACTTATGGCTGCATAAATTCACCAATTACTATCAAGAATCTCATCGGTGCTTTTTGACCCAGTAGCACATGCTTTTAGGAATCTATTCACTGGAACAAGGGTCCCCAAACCCCAGGCCCTGAATGGCCTGAGCTCTGCCTCCTGGCTTCCCTCCATCCCCTCAATCACTGGCGAGCTAGCGAAGCTCACCTGAGAGCTCTACCTCCTGTCGGCGCACCCCCTACAAAAAGGTTGGGACCAATGCTCTAGAAGGAACCAAAGCTCTGGCTGGACGATTCAGCAGGCTGGAACATCGTCTGGTACACCCAAAGGTTGCAGGTTCAATCCCTGGGAGGCAGCCAATCCATGTTTCTCACATACGTGTCTCTGTCTCTGTCTCTTTCCCTCCCTCTCCCCCTCTTCTGTCTAAAATCACTAACCATATCCTCTGTTATGGATTGAAAAAAAAAAAATCTGAAACAAAACTAACTATGTCTAAGATGTTCATCGCAGTTCGTAATACCATAACATCAGACACACTTTGGTATCAAAGGGGAAGTAGTTAAATGACAATAAAACTGTATATAACATCAGGCATACTCATGCTTATGTTTTAATTTTTTAAGATGAAATTTAACTTTATTTTTTTGTTTAGTCTTCACCCAAGGATATGTTCATTCACTGGGGAGAAGAGGGGGAGGGGGATGGATAAGAAAAAAGGGGGGATGGGCATTTCTGTGAGAAACATTGCTTTGTTGCCTCCTGGGGAACCCTGTAACCTAGGTATGTGCCCTGACCAGAGATTGGACCCAAAACCTTTCGGTGCATGGGATGATGTTCCAACCAACTGAGCCACCCAGCCAGGGCCAAAAAAGTTAATTTTAATGTATGCTAACTTAAGAAATAAAACACTAGAGTCCCGACTCTATATTACTATTTATAGTAACCAAAATTTTAACAGGAATTAAAATAGATCTTTTCTCATTAGCAGAACACCTCCATCTACCAGATTTGAACATTTAAATGAACAAAATCTTTAATCAAAACTGAATTTTTATTTAATTATTTTTAAGGTGTATTCCTGGAAGCTGGGGCCACTTTCCTTTTTCACTAAGCCTAGTCTAGCTGGCATGTGAATTTAGTGATTATAAAACACTTTACTATAATGACATTAGTCATAACTATTGAATAAAAGTGTTGAGCAAGTATACCACATCATTTTTACAGTGCCAATTTGAAGTACCACCCATTCTGGATCCTAAAAAACACATTTTAAGTCTTCAGTTTAGTGCAAAAAAAATTAAATGACGACTCACTCAATAGCAGCAGAATTGATATTTTGAAAGCATGTTTGTCAGTTAATTGGTTTCAAGAAGTTTCAAAGTCACCTACTTGTAGAGTCAAATAGGCTCCTGCAGTATAACTAAGTCACATGCAGACCCCCAGAGTGTCAGTCTCAAGGACCACCGCCCAGGTACGACGGCAAGCAGACGGAGTGACTCACCCCGTAGGTCTCCCCCTGTGCAGCTCTTAACCACGCCTCAAACAAGCTTGCTAACAGCCATTTATTCAACTCAAATAACAATTTGTGCTGGATGAATGAATAAGAAAGCTTATTTAGTGAGTTTGATTAATTGCTTTTTCCCTGCTGGGGGAGAAGCTGGTTAAGATATTGTAATAGGCTGTGAAAATTTATGGGGTTGCTAGTGTTGGCATAAAGCAACAAAGTTAATTTGACATTTAGATCTATTCCAATACTAGTTATTTAATTACTTATCTAGAACCAAATTTTAATTGAAAACACACACACACACACACACACACACACACACACACACACACCATGGTATAAAACACAATTGTTGTTTTGGGTTTTTCTTCCTGTAGTCACAATTACACTTTCAAGTTCTGTGTAATACTTAGGGCAAGCATCTAGAAAATAGTGAAGTAACAATTTAAACTAATTAAAGTATTTCAGGTGAAAGTAGACAAAGCCCGGGAATGTCTTCGTTATCTCTCCGAACCCCACTGAAATTACAGCAAAGGCATAAAAAGGCGTTAACCCGGACAGAGGCAGAGAGACAGAGAACATGGGAGGAGCCCCAAAACACACTATGGTCCTCTGAATAACAAGGTGTGGAAGATAAAACGTGAATATACCCACAGTAACCGACTTTACAGAGGAAAGGAAGCCAAAATGGAAACTCCTGCAGAGGTGGGAGAACCCAGCTACAGGGCCCTACAAAGATTACCAAAGGAAACCAGGGAATTTACATAGGGTCACCAAGAGACTCCTAA